ATGTAAACAGTATTTTCATACTAAACCCTGCAAACACATAATTAGATATATATGAGTGATTTAGTGAAAACCACAGCAAACATACACTTCATGATAGTTCCACTTTATTAATATCAAACATTTTGCACTTTCTTCAGGTCTCCACTACATGAAAAATTTTCACAGGATTTGCAAAATCAGCTTAAATGTATAGTTCTTCTCTAGCAAGGCTTCTTTCATGTATTTTACAATGTGTTTGGACCAGCACCTTTCCCACATTACTCCTCTACACAGGATTTCTGCCTAGTAAGTTCTTTCATACATTTGATAATCATAATGTGCAGACCATATCTATTATAATCCCCGGTGTGAATGCTCTTGTGTATTTTACACTCACTGTGCTTGCCGAAAATTTGCCCTCACTTGCATACAAATGATTTCTTCCCAATATGAATCCTTTCATGTGTTCACAAATGGTGGTTTGTGCTAAAAGCTTTTCCACATTGCTTACACACAGTGTTTCCAGTGTGAATCTTTTCATGTCTGTGACAAGAACTGTGTGTGCTAAAAGCTTTTCCACACTGCTTACATACATATGGTTTCCCCTCCATATGAAGTCTTTCATGTATTTTACAATATCCTTGTGTGGTGAAAGCTTTCCCACAATGTTGACATACATAAGGTTTCTCCCCAGTGTGAATTCTTTCATGTGTTCGACAATGAGTGCTTCTGCTGAAAGCTTTACCACATTGCTTACATGCATAGGGTTGCTCCCCAGTATGAATTCTTCCATGTATTTTACATGCGCTGTGAGTAAAGAAAGCTTTCCCACACTGCTTACATAAAAAGGGTTTCTTCCCAGTATGAACTCTTTCATGTGCTCTCAAACGATGATTTGTGATAAAAGCCTTCCCACACTGTTTACATACATAGGGTTTCTCGCCAGTGTGAAGTCTTTCATGCAGTTTATTTTATTTTATTTTTTTATTTTTTATTTTTATTATTTTTTTTGGATATTTTAGCTTTATTGATACAGTTTGACAATAAAATTATGGATATTTAGGGGATACAAAGTGATGTTTTGATATATCCACTTTATAAAATTATTACTATACTCGTTAATTAATATATTCATCACTTCATGCGCTCTGTTCTGTTTATGCTAAGAACAGATCAAAATTACCCTCTGAAAATGTTCCAAGTGCACAATAGCATCTGGTTGGCCATGGTCACCAAGCTCTAAATCTCCAGTCCTTACTCATCTTATGTGATGACTTCTACCAATGATCACTCGATGCCACTTGCTACCAGCCCCAGGCCCTGGCAGCTACCTTTCCACAGATGTTTGTATGAATTTTTTTTTTTCAACAAATAATACACTGCATATATTCTTCTTAGTGGTTAATTGCTGTACAAGATGCGGACTTGTGATCCTA